TATACTGTGGCCAGCATCATGTGTGTTACTGACAACAATGTCTGACTTAGATGGGATCAATACTGGGACTCCCTCCCAGAGGATGAGCTAAGTAAGACGCCATCTCTGAGATGATTGTGTGTTATCCTGGCAGAGGCTAAGTGATGGTGCTTCAGCTATCGATTGGGTGTTAATTTTTCATAACACAATAAAGTAGCGTTCGATAATTGTGTCAAAGCGTGACTGACCTGATCCACAGAAAGCCAAAATCAACAATGCCAAACATCCAATTTTAAAAGGAGCAGAAAAATCCAAGGTAGTGTACTAAATACAAAGGTGGGGTGTGACAGTGATTTTTGTTTTGCTCAGTTTCATTTGTGTGTGAGATTTTAATACAATCTATGTCAACAGTGTGAGGATGAAATTATGTCTTTTGCTCAGGATTGCTGCAGAAGTTCAGCCTTGGGGACCTCCTTTTTTTAGAACATGTTGATTTGGTTAGCCTCAGCCTAGTTCAGTCTGCTCAGGAGGGTTATACAACAGTGATGGTTGCTGTTTGAACTGAGGGAGGGCAAACTGATCCTAAATCAGTGTCATCAAGGCATTCTTCCTCTGAACCTTCCGTCGCCAACTAGTTGTGTATTTTCCCATGACAACACCAGCAGAGATGGGCAAGGATATATCCAAATGTATTCAAAAATAAAATACCCAATACCCTAATTGTAAGTGTATCAAAATAAAAGACAAAATATAATAAGTTATTTTTCAATAATGATGCGATATAATTGTAAATGCTTCAGAAGTGCAGCACACCAGCTCAACTCCCTTAGCACTTCTAGTCTTTGTCTGCCTCTCTCTCACTCATGTCCCTCCTCATAGGCTACTGCCCATCGATGTTCCTATCTCTGCCTCCAATCTCATTCAGACTAGCAAAAGGGAACGACCTTGAGGCGTGCATTTTCAATTATCGTTCCCACGCATTCTTGTTCAATAAGGTTCAATAGAGTTATTTGAGAACAATTCTCATGAAACACAAAACAGCCCCCACAAAGTTACACAATTAGAGAAGATGTGAGTTAGAACAAATGGAGCCATGTTCACGTTAGCGCACACACACACCGCCTAAGCTCTCGCTTACTGAACCATCCATTTAAGTATTTTGATACGAAATATGAATCCATTTTCATCAAACCTATCCAGTACAAATTACAAA